AGTTCAGAAACAGTTGACTTATTCACTGGCATGGTAACCATCCTCTGCTACCAAATGTTGAAATGGATCTTTAACTGGGCAGAATGTTTAGCGGGACAGTAAACAAGTCAGGTTCAGGATACTTAATGCACAACAGTTTATTTGAGGAAGAATTACACAAGCAGTATAAGGTTATACAATGCACGTCTCCCTAGTGAGCCTCAATTCTCCAAGCAAAAACCCTCAGTACTTATGCTGGCCCCACACAGTATTCTGATTGGCTAGCAAAGCAGGTATAGCTACTGATCTAGATGAGGACTTCTCTCTTTTCTTGTCTTCTCTTCTCAGGCACTGGGTCTATCAAGGATTCCCTGGAGGAAGAGACTTGGCTACCCTGGGACCCTCTTTCTTACAGCGTCATAGACCTCTTCAGATGTTAATTAGGGAACGCTTCTTCTTCTTCTCTTCCTCTCCTCCTCCTCTTTAGCTAATTTACGTTGCTTAACATTTATACCTTTTGCTCTCAGAGGAGTCACATGTCCTTGAAACATGCCTTATGGGCATTCTATTACTAATTTTCTCCTAATTAAAACTTTGGAAGGGACTGCAGAAGGGGTAGCAACCAGACATCACCCCACATTTACGCTCTCATCAATCATTCACTCAAGCTGTCAGCATGATGCTTTCCAAAGGGGTCATTTGGTCATTTTGCCCCAGGTCAGCTTGTGCCTAGCTCACTGATCTCATGTTTATACGATTTCTTTACCTGTTGAGCTGGCATATTGACTGACAGAGGTTGGTAATAGAACAGACACACAGAATAGAGAATTTCCACATGAACCGTTTGATGCTAAGGAGGCCCTGCTCCCAGAATCCTCTAGCAAATTGAAACATGTCAAGCCAAACCACATTCATGTGCACCACATTCATCCCTAACATCCACAGTAATTCAAAATAATTCAGCACCATCCCAATACCCCGGACTGTGAATCTCCTTGTTACTCCCCTGCCTCAGCGCAAGGGGGACGTGCTTCTGCTGAACTGGGTGTCAGTTCCCTGTCACCTCCAGGCCTTTTAGCTCTGCACCCAAACTCCCCAGGGCTCTGCCAGTCCTTACTTTGCCTTGCAGGTTAACACTAGGCGCAACCTTGTCCTCCAGCTCCTCTGACGTGTCCTTCTGCAGTGTCCAGCCCCTTTCCACTGGACACTAAGAAATTCCCAGGTAAGCTGTCCCAAAAGGGACAATACCAACTTGTTTGATTCAATTGAGGATCAGGCCCAATATAACATCACAGCTCTGAGATATAGTTTTAGTGAAAACAAATAGGAGTTTATTAATTAAGATTGAGGAGAGAGTGAGTGAAGCAATAAGACCAACAGGTTACACATCAAACACCAGGTATAACAGGATTCAGATAGGCTGAGTTTAACTTTAAGAAGTAAAATCCAGGGCTAAAGCATTCTCCCAGGGTCACCAGCCACCGTTGCTGGGATCCCCTCAGGGCCATCCTTAGGCATATGCATTTATGTTTACAAATTTACATTTACAAATTTACAAATCAAAAATAAAACAGTGTAAAATTTTAGACCCTACAAGTCCACTCAGTCCTACTTCTTGTTCAGCCAATCACTCAAATATGTTTACATTTGTGGGAGAGAATGCTGCCGGCTTCTTGTTTACAATGTCACCTGAAAGTGAGAACAGGTGTTCTCATGCCACTGTTGTAGCCGGCACCGCAAGATATTTACCTGCCAGATGTGCTAAAGATTCATTTGTCCCTTCATGCCTCAATCACCATTGCTTAACCTCCCCTGGCCTATTATACCTGCTGCCCATGCTCAGACCACAGCTGCCAATTCTTCAGCTTTTCAGACTCTTCTAGGGGTCTATGGGGAAAATTTTTCACCTGCCAGGGAAACCCCCTCTGCCTGGTAATTCCCATTTGCCAGCCTCCTGCAGAAGGAGACTGAATCCACCTGGAGAGGCATTTTTTTTTTTTTGAGCTTCTCCCACAGACATAGCTGCCATCTCTTGTTGGGGGTGGATTAATTAGCTCTCTTGCCGGTGGCTGGCAGCTCCCATTATGTGCAGGGCATGGGAAGCCGGCCCGCACCATGCTGGGGGCTGGGACAGCCACACCGGGGGGGACGGAGGACAGAGGGGAGCTGAAAGGGGGCTGAAGAGGCATGGGGGGTGTAGCTAAAGTGGGATTGAGCGGGGATCAGGGATGCATGAGGGGAAGGAGGGGTATGCAGGGGGCAGGATGGGATGGGGGCATGGGGTGTACTGAAGGGATGATGGGGCAGATAAGGGGGGAACAGGAATGTATGAAGGGGCAGGAGGGGGTGAAGGGAATGGGGGTGCTGAAGGGAGGTTGGGGCAATGCAGGGGAATCAGGGGAGGCTTATGGGGCAGGTGGGAACAGGGCTGCAATAGAGAGAAACTCTGAGTGGGGGGTTGGGCTGGAGGCAAAGCAGCAGCAACACTGAGGGAGAGAAGAACTGGGGCTGGATGAGTCCGGAGCCGGTGGCGGTGAGCAGCTGGGGAGAGCGAGGGGTGACCCTGGGCAGAGGGTCCAGTGCAGGGAGACACCACCAGCCAAGAGGCCTTGCAGGCGACACTTGGGGATGGACTCATAACCCTGACAGGGGGGAGGGGGTTTGCTGGAAAGAGGGGTTCTGCCACCTAGAGCCTGAGGGCACGTACCCCATGCTAGAGGATGCGTCTGACCTGCATCATCCCTGCAGCACGGCCAGGGACTGGGAGGGAGGCCTGGGACTTGTGAGGACTGAACTGCCCTTATATTCCAGAGATGGCAGTTTGTGCTTCCCCCGTGCCCACAGAGCGGGGTGACATGTTTTCCTTTAACCTTTCCCTTTTTTCCCTTAATTTTTTTTATTAGTTGCTGTTTAATAAATTGTATTTGTTCTGAACTCTATGAAATGGTCAGGGAAGAGGACACTGAAGCATCCAGTTCGGAGAGAGAACCCTGGATCTGGGATATCCCTAACCCCTGTCCTGAGTGACCAAAACAAGATTGGGGGTCGAGTCCCCCAGCAATCCTGGGCCCAGCCTTGTCGGCTTACAAGGACTCTGCCACACAGGAGAGTGGAAGGGAGCCCTCGAGGTCAAGCAGGTCTCTGGGTAAAGGGGGAGGGGGCAAGGACTCAGATCCTTTCGCTAGCCAATTCCACCAGGGCCATGCACAAGCCAGGAAAGTTCCTCACAATAGCGAGACCATTCCCCCGCTTACCTGTGTGCATATTTATTGCACATTCTCCTAAAAGTAATTGAGTATTTTAGGAAAAAGTGTCAGAGCGACTCTGGGGGAAGAGGCGGGACGGGGAGGTTCTGGCACTCCTGCTGGAGTGTCCGACTTTTAAATATTACCAAGTTGGCCACCCATGTAGCTAGCTGAGAGGCTGTGAAAAATGTAAACAAGCATGCAAATATCACTTTTCACAGCAGCAGCCTTACTAGCTAGCAATAAATAAATCATAGACTCTCAGGGTTAGAAGGTTTCTCAGGAGGTCATCTAGTCCAAACCCTTGCTCAAAGCAAGACAAATCCCCAATTTTTGCCCCAGATCTCTAAATGGCCCCCTCAAGGATTGAACTCACATTGCTAGGTTTAGCAAGCCAATGCTCAAACCACTGAGCTATCCCTCCCTCCCAAATATTGGGGAGGGGGATGCTGATTTGTCTATGGGTAAGGGGACAGTGAGCCCCTTACTGAAATTTAGTGGGGGGGTATGGTTGGCTCTCTCCTACTTCCAAAAGAAAGGGGAAGGGCTAACGAGAAATCAAGATTTGGAGACTGACAACGGGCAGGGGCCAATGCTCCAGGTCAGCCTCATTTGCAGGGCAGGCAGGCCCATGAGGGAGTCAGGAGCCCGGGGTCCTGTCCTCTGTGTGAGCTGGAGTTGGCGGGGCCCGAGCAGGGCGGGAGGCGCTAAGGAGAGAGGAGAGCGGTGCTGGGAGCAGAGCAGCACCAGCCAGAAGCAGGGAGGCGCAGCCCAGGGAGCTGAGCTGGGGGCAGGGCAGCAGCAGTGCTGAGGCAGAGGGAAGCTGGGGCTGGAGCAGTCTGGAGCCGGGTGCGGTGAGCAGCTGGGGAGAGCGAGGGGGATGTGGGCAGAGGGCCCGGTGCAGGAAGATGCCCCCAACCAAGAGGCCTTGCAGGCTGCACTGGGAGGGGGATCCTATCTCCAGTGGGGGTGGGGGGACACTGGGAAGAAGGGTCCTGTCACCTAGAGCCTGAGGGCGTGAGGCCACCACCAGAGCACGTGTCCGACCCCCAGCATCCCTGCAGCACAGCCAGGGCCTGGGCAGGAGGCCTGGGACATGTGAGGAACAGCCTGTGAACTGCCCTGGCATCTCAGAGACGCTGTTTGTGGGTCATCCCACAGAGCAGGGTGACATGTTTTCCTTTAACCTTTCCCATTTTTTCCTGAATTTTTTTTATTAGCTGCTGTTTAATAAATTGCATTTGTTCTGAACTATATACAATGGTCACGGAAGAGGGAGAGCGGAGAAAGTACCCCAGAGTGGGGACAGCCTAGCCCCTGTCCTGAGTGATCACAAGGTTTGGTGTCGAGCCCCTCAGGAATCCTGGGCCCAGCCTTGTCAGGGTGTACGGGGAGACTTTGGCAAACCAGTAAAGTGCCTGAAACCACTATGGCTTATTGCTAAAAGCAGCCAAGTCAGCAGGCTGTAAATTGGCCATTCAGCACTCTCAGTTTGACCAAGGCAGGAGGGGAGGGGGGAGTTTTGGGTGCCACAGAAAGGGCAGCTTGACCCAGCGTCCTTCCTGATAAGAATTGTGTTGAAGTGGCTGATACATGCATTTTCGAAGAGCAGGATGTGCCCCAGGAATGTCTATTGGGGCCTCAAGGCTGCAAACTCTGGAAAAACCCACACTTGGTTAATCGATAATCAGAAGGAACCTCTTGCTTGACTATTGAAACTACTTACTTAACAAGTTTTCTTTAAGGGACATGTTTTTATAATAAAAACATAAAAAGGGGGAAAGTTTGAGGTAGTTGGACTCTTTTTGGACTCTCCCTCTGGATACATCTTGCAGTCCCCACCGGCAGATGGAAGATTTGGCCACCGGAAGCCTGCTGCTGTGCCATTTGAGAGCCACACTCAGCTCTGGTAACTATCAAGGGTTGGGGGTGTCTTACAAACCTTTTGCGGACGTGTGTTCGTGTCTGAGACTAAGTGAAGTTTAGCTTTAAGTGAAAGCACTCTTGTGTTGTCCTGTTTGTGCCAGCCATCTATCGGTCGGACGGCCGTGTCTCCCCTGATTTATTTCCTGACACCACCTCGCACAGAGTAAAAGTTACCAAGAGCTTTGGGTTGAAAGAACCCCGGGTAGCAAGGGTTACAAGGACACAGGAGAGTGGAAGGGGAGCCCTCGAGATCAGGCAGGCCTCTGGGTATAAGGAGTGGGAGCGAGGACTCAGATCCTTCTGCTTTTCCATTCCACAGGGCAGTGTATAAACCAGGAAAGTTTCCCACTGTCCCGTCCCCGCCCCCCGCTTACCTCTGTGCATATTTATTGTTTTTTCTTAAAGGTAATTACGTATTTTAGGAAAAACCATCAGAGCACCCACCCCAAAAGCTGCTGGCCGCACTCTGAGGCCATCAAAAATTTGATCGTGAGAACCCCTGGGCTAGATGATCCTGATGCGCCCTTCTGACCTTAAAGTCTATGAGTGTAACAGAAGCCAGACACAGAGAGGCAAAGCGCAGAGCATGGGATATCGCTAGGACCCAGGAGCAGGTGGGTGGGAGCGATACTAGGGTCACTCATTCCCGGGTAGCAGGAAGGAAATCGCAGAGGGTGCAGTGACCCTTGGACCCCAGGCTCCTGGCGAGATCCCCGAGCCCCGGCGGCTGGTGCTGGGAGCCCGGAGCCCGGGCTGCAGCCGGGAGAGGGGAACCTCCAGCCGGGCCCTGCCCGCTGCTCCCCGGGAGCCTCTCCCAGGGCAGAGCCCCCAGCCCGGCCAGGGCCCCTGCCCCGAGGGGCCCCGCTCGGAGGGAAGGTAAGAGAGACCCGCTCCCCCCCCCGTCACCCCCAGGCTGCAGGGGGCGGGTTTGGCCCCGGGCTGCTCCCCGCGGAGCGGGCTGCGATTCCCTGCCCCGGGCAAGCTGCCGCCAGCCCCCGGTGTTTGCGGGGCTGGGGGAACCCGGACCGGGCCCGGCTGGGACAGATACACCTAGGTGGGCGTAGCCGGGAGGGGTCTGAAGAGGGACCCGGCGTGGGAGGACAAGAGGAGACTTACAGGTGGGAAGGGCTGTGTCATGGGGCAGGACGGAGGTGAAGGGGGATGCAGGGAGCAGGATGGGATGGGGGCGGGCGTGGCTGAAGGGGGGATGGGCCGATGCAGGGCAATCAGGGGAGACTTGTGGGGCGGATGGGAACAGGGCTGCAATAGAAGGCAACTCGGGGGGGGGGTCACTGCGAAGGAAAGGGGGGATGTGGGGAGGGGAGGCTGGGGGGGAGACTGAGAGCAAGAGCAGACTGGCTGGAGAAGGGAGGGGTCGGGGAAAATGAGAGGGAGAGATATAAGGGCAGCTCACCCACCCCGTGGGGCAGGAGAGGGCGAGGGGCTGCCCCACTCACCAGCCGGACGGGAATTCCACTAGTCAATGAAGCTTTGGAGGAGGGGGCTTCCACCTACGGGCTCAGAAGCTACAAGGCAAATATCCAGACACCCTCCCTGCACACACACACACAGACACCCTGCTCCCAATGTATGATTTTCAGACACACTCATGATTTTGGGGTCTGTCTCCTGAGGGTTCGGGGCTCCCCATTTCCGGGCAGGATTCAGATCTCGGCCACGCCGGTGTGAGACCGGAGTCACTGCTGACGCTGGCAGGGGGGGAGCGCGGATGGGCCGATGAGATCAGGCTCTGCCTGCCTGTCCCTGGGGGCTGCAGGGGCAGGACAGGGAGGCTCAGACATTAGCTGCAGCCACCAGAGGGCTCCGGTTATTGCTCAGGGAGAGGAGGAGGCGGGTGCGTGTCTCTCTCTGCACCTGATATTAGAGCCTTTGAGTTGAGGTCCCTGGGTCAGACACTGCTGCCTCCTCTGCCTGAGAGCCCAGACTGTGAAGCTGCTGCTCCCCAGCGGGGTCTGTGCAAAAGGCAAACCTTCATTAACGCCCCTCTGTGGCCAGCCCAGGTGGACACTTTCTCCAGTGGCTGGAGTCAGCCCCCTGGAGCAGCCCCGGGCTCTGCCCACGCCAGCCCCTGAGCTGCAGGTGACTGGGAGAGACCCGGGGGCCAGGGCTGGGGCTGGGCAGGAAAGTGACTCTGAACAAAGGGCCCCTTTCAGGGACCTGCTGGTGAGTTTGTACGGGAGAGGCAGGGGCTCCATGTCAGTCTGCGGGTCCCAGAGCTGCTGCCCTCAGTGACACAGCCAGGCTCACGCTGGAGAGCGAGCGCCCATGGGAACGGGACAGTCCCCAGTTCTCCCAGGCAGAGCGGAGAAGGAAGGAGACAGGAAGGGGAATGGTGAGACCAAAAGGGGCAGCAGGAGCAAGAAGTGGGGAGGGAGGATCCCAGCTCCCAGGCCTGCCTGGATCCATTCCCTGCATCCCCCTGGGCAGCCTGACTCTCCTGGGAACAAGTGAAGGAGCTGACAGAGGAAAAGCCAGGTCCTGCCCTGTTGGAGTCCCGGCAGTGCCCTGCCCTCGGGGCCAATGTCAGGGGGAATCCCCCAAAGTGGCTCCTTTGATTCTGCTCTTTTCTAGCCTTTGTCTTAGTGACTCTGTCCCTGGGAGGGTTTAAAAGTGTCTCAGGGGGTTCAGTGCTGGTGGGAGGGGCTGGGTCTGTGTTGTGATAAAGTGACTGACGGTTTTCCCAGCATGGCAGAGTCCAAAGCGTCTGTCTGCAGGGAGGGAGCCTGGGGGGAATCGTGGTGTGAAATGGACTCAAGCCCCTTCTGAAATCTCCCCCGTTGTCTGTCTCGCCCCAACAGGCTGAGGAATCACGTCCACTTTTCACTCCAGATCGTCCCGTCTTCCAGGGGACAAGGAAGGCAAATGGCTGTGATGGAGCCAGTTCAGGTAGGGGATTTTCAGGGAGCTGCAGGGCGTTTGTTGTGGAGGAGGAGGGGCAGGAAACCCCCAGGGGGAGACAGGGAGGGAACAGGGTGTGATAAACCTGCTGGGACACGTTCAATTTGGAGCCTGATTTTCTGAACAAACCATTTTCAGATGCTGGGAACATCGTCCCATTTCTGAAACAGAAAAAAAACAAAACAAACAAAAAAAAACCCTGGGCAGGGCTGGGAAAACTGACCAGACTCCCAGTGCTGGAGCCTGAACCCACTGGCCAAAGGTTGCTTTGAAATCAAAAGGGAAGCTGTCGGGATTCCTGTCCCTGTCCCCGGCTCAGAGCTCTGCTTCCCGTATCAGCCTGTGGCTGGCAGGCAAGTGGGAAATGAGAAGACCCTGCCTTGCTCCGTCTGCTGGGGGGGACAAGGAGCTCTTACCTTCTCCCCACCCCATGAAGACTCCTGGCTGCTCTGAGCCAGGTGGGGGTGGGATTTTGCTTTTCTGGGCCTCCTCCCCCATGAATAGCGGGATTGTGGCTGGGGCAGCAGGCGCTGAGTGTGGGAATTGACGTTTCAGATGCCGGTGACCTTCGAGGAGGTGGCTGTGTATTTCACCGAGGGGCAGGGGGCTCTGCTGGACCCCGCTCAGAAAGCCCTTTACAGGGACGTCATGCAGGAGAATTATGAGACAGTGACCTCGCTGGGTAAGCGATACCCGTCCCCTCAGTTATTAGAAGCTGTGGGATATGCATATCTGACTTTGGTCATATTCTTCCCTGGTGAGTTAGATCGGAGGGGGAGGGTCGCATAATCCACAGCTTCAGTGTGAGAGACCCTTTATCTCCACACCCCATTCTAGGGAACAGGGGATTCAGAAACCTAATGGACAGGCTAATTCATTCCCATCTCTCCAGCTTTCAAGGGGCCAGAAGCAGGGTATTGCTCACTCTGTATTATTTCTCCTTCACACACCATTCACCTTCCTTCCTGGGACTAGCTCCATCCATGGCTTGGAAATAGACAGGAGTTTAACACCCGAACTGTGTGTGTGTCAGCAAGTCCCCAGAGCGCATCTACACTGAGAACTCCTAGTGAGGGAGTGGCAACACCCCCTACCTTCCAGATGTCTGCTGCTCCCAGGGGGTCTGAGCTGCTACAATCCCATGTAGGGTCGGGTTAAACTCAGGGAATGTTCCTTGTGACAAATACTCTACCAAGACTCCATACATCCTGACCTTGCCTGATTTCACCGCTCACCAGGATTCCCCATTCCCAAACCTGACTTGATTGCCCAGCTGGAAAGAGGGGAAGAGCCGTGGGTCCCGGATCTCCAAGCCACTGAGAAAAGAGAGATCCCGAGAGGCACCTGCACAGGTGAGGAATAAGGGAAACAGATAAACATCTGGTGAGTGAAGGAAAAAGCTGGGACTCCCAAAAACTTGCTGTGACCAATAGCCCTCAGTTCTGTCCCATCTCACCCAGGTGAGGGCTGCAGTCAGTAGGTGTCATAGCATCAAGGCAAAGATCATTCACAACTTCTCACCCATCCTGTTAGCTGTCGGGAATTTCCTCCCTGACATTGCTTCCCTGGGAGTGTTGGGGTGGGATGTGGAGGCAGAATCCAATGTCTCCATCTCCCCAGCAGTCACTGTGTGGTGTTTTCCCTCTTTGCTATTCCCCTTTCTGTCCTTTTTCCCCGGCACACTCAGTGACTCCTGTCTGGGTTCTCTCTCTCCCAGCAGGTGATAGGACAGTGAGTGAGAACAAGGAGGAGAATCAGCAGCAGGAAGGTCCTGAGAAAGTGGAACCGCAGGAGAGGTTTTTGAGAAGAGCCGAAGGGAATTTTTCCCAGTGCTTGGAGCAGGGAAATGCCTGGGGAGATCGACACAGATCAGAGATGCAGCTGGGAAACTATCCCAGGAAGCAACTGGATAAATCCACTGAACGTGGCGGAGGATGTAAGGCTCCCAAGGAAACCACAGTCAAGCAGACAAGTCACAATGAAGAGAAACCCTGCAAATGTCTTGACTGTGGGAAAAGATTCAGTTTCAGTGCAAGCCTTCTTACACATCAGAAAACCCACGCAGGAGAGAAGCCCTATGAATGCTTGGACTCTGCAAAAAGCTTAATTCAGAAGTCACAACTTATTATACAAGAGAGAGTGCACACAGCACAGAGACCCTTTAAATGCTGTGAGTGTGGGAACAGTTTTAGTCAGAGTGCAACGCTTATTACACATCAACGAACCCACACAGGAGAGAGACCTTATAAATGCCTTGAGTGTGGGAAAGGTTTTAGTCAGAGTGCAACGCTTATTACACATGAGAGAACCCACACTGGAGAGAGACCCTATGAATGCTTTGAGTGTGGGAAAGGTTTTAGTCAGAGCTCAGCACTTTTAACTCATGAGAGAACCCACACGGGAGAAAGACCCTATAAATGCCTTGAGTGTGGGAAAGGTTTTATTGCAAGTTCAGCTCTTACTAATCATATCAGAATCCACACAGGAGAAAAACCCTATAAATGCCCTGAGTGCGGGACAAGTTTCAATTTGAAATCAACCCTTACTACACATCAGAAAACCCACACAGGAGAGAAACCACATGAATGCTTGGACTGTGGGAAAGCTTTCCGTTTCAAATCAAACCTTAATGCACATGAGAAAACCCACACAGGAGAGAAACCCCATAAATGCTTGGACTGTGGGAAAACTTTCTGTCTGCGCTCATACCTTATTAAACATGAAAGAATCCACACAGGAGGGAGACCTTATAAATGCCTTGACTGTGGGAAAAGCTTCAGTAAGAGCTCAGAGCTCACCAAACATCAGAGAATACACAAGGGTGAGAGACCCCAGAAATAGCTTGGCTACAGGAAAAGATTCAATTTGACTTCACACTTCAGTGATCCACACAACAGAGAGACCGTGAATGTGCGGGAAGGTTCATCTGGTGCTCCTGGAGTATCAGGCATCTGCAAATCCGCACAGAGAAGAAACCTCTGAGATGTTCTTAGTGTGGAAAATGCTCCAAGTGGAGCTAACACCATGTTGGAAATCAGAGACTCCTCCACACAGCAGGGAAATTCTCTCAGGGCCCTGACTAGGGCTGGCCATGGTGACCAACCCATTTCCTTGTTCCCACACACATCAGGGGCATTTGGCGCCCAAAGACCCAGCTGCCCATCGCTGGGGTGAGGATCCAGCAGCAGCCGAGTAGCAGCTGGTCAGTGACCTTCTGGCTCTGCCTGGTCTAAGCAAACCCCAGGCAGAGGAGGAGAAGCCCCCATCAGCCCCTCCTCCCTGCTGTAGCCCTGGCTGCTGAGCTGATGGGCCACAGGTGGAGGAACAGAGAGAGAGAAACTCCTCCAGAGGCTCCCTCTGCCTGGCTGAAGTTTTCCCCCTCTCCCTTCCCCTCCCAGCCAGGATCCCCCTGCCATGGATCTGAGAAGGACACTTGTGCCAGGCCCCACCTTCACCGTAGACACCTGTCCACACTCCCCATCTTCCACCAGCCCCTGGGGTGGGCTTCCCCACTGACCTGGAGCTGTTCCCTGCAGGGGGAATGTCCCAGGGGGCTGGTAACTCCTCCCCTCCCTGAATCCCCCAGGGTGCTGGTCTCTGGGGGATCCACCGTTAAGGGACCAGGGTGATGGGTTATGGGGAGGAAACTGGGGATTAAATGGTTGAGGCTGGTGGAGCTGGGTGCTGGGGCTATCGAGTGTTTGGGGATCATGGGATAAGAGGCGAGGGAGAGCACAGAGTTAAAGAGGTGCTGCCTCTCATCACTCTCCCCATCTGCCCCTTCTCCCTGCCCCCTCTGCATTCAGACAGCAGCATTAGCAGAGACTGATTTCCACAGGGACTTTTCTTGGAAGCTTGGATTTCCCACGTCTGCTACAGCAGCATCAGCCTCTGAGAGAGAAGCAGTGTTGCCTAGTAGATAGAGCACTGGCCTAGGACTCAGGAGACATAAACTCTGTTCCCAACTCTGCCAGCAGGTTGCGGGGTGACCTGAGACAAATCTGTGCCTTCCAGGGAGGGAATAATTTGGTAGTGATATCATCATCCTCTGAGTGTCTATCTAGGGCAGGAAAAGTGGTTGGGATCAGCTAGTGCAGCTCCTTTGTTCCTCCACCCTTTTTCTAGTCTAGACTGACCCTTAGCTGTTTATTTCAATCCCCCATTAGCAAAGTGATTGTTAGAGTCACTAAGTGCCCCCTTTGCAGTGAGATTGTCTCATTCCCAGACATCCTCACATTGCTCCTGGTTATGCTGAAAAGCATTTGATTTTTTGTGCTGTTTCTCCCTTATACACCAGCATTCAATAGAGTCTAAAAAAGCGGGAGCAGGGATAGTAAAATAACGTGGTGTTTTACCTTCTGTGTTGTTTGATAGGGATGGGTTGAGTCCGGGGATTCCCTCCTCACCCAGCAACCTCACACATCTTCTCTGCCCAAGTCGTGGAGAGTTTATCCTTTTCCCTTTCTACCCCTCCACCTTCATGTGTGTCCTTTCCCACCATGCTTATGACTCACGCTTTGATTTCTTTGATCCTCAATCAGGCCCCTGAGGGCTGGAGAAGAAAATGTCACATTCCTGAAGGGGACATTCAAGTGAACCCCAAAGCACAGTCTGAGCTTAAATCTGTAGCCCATGAGGTTACTTTGCTAGCTTGCTATATTGCCTAGAGTGCTTTCTTCATTGATTTGATTGATTATATTGTTATCTTCAGGGAGTTGGGTTTATACCGGATCTCAGTGTATATTACTCAGAATAGCTGGCTGTAATGCAAAGGAGCCTACAGGCCTGTATCCTGTAAAAGGAATTTTAGCTTGAGTCAGTTAGGATAAGTGATTGCAACCTTTGGCATAGATAAATGTCCTATTGGCTACCCCTTTGTCTCTGGGGGAACTGAATGGAGAATCACATGAAGAACCGTAGGTGTTTACCTTAAGTTTGGAACAGAGCGGTAACCACAGGGTGCATCGCAGCAGAACATGGAAGTTATGATTAATGTCAAAGTTAATGGTTTCAGGGATGAGATAATCAATATTAACATGTATGAATTTATGTATGAATATGTCACAATATTTTAGCCTATAGAATAAGTGTACCTGAAGATTTATCTGGGTGAGGAAATAAGATTTGGTCATGGAAGATTGGGCACGGCTATGAATATTCATGCCATTGTGAGGACCCTATAAAAGGGCAAACAACCATGCTGAGTGGTCACTCGTTCCTCATTCTTTATACCTTCTATTACGCTATCCACTCATCTTGGCAACATAGCTACTCATCATCCGGTCCTGACCTCCACCTAGACCAGGGGTGGCCAACCTGGGGCTCCGGAGCCACATGCAGCTCTTCAGAATTTAATATGCGACTCCTTGTACAGCCACTGGCTCCGGGACTGGAGCTACAGGTGCCAACTTTACAGTGTGCCGGTGGGTGCTCACTGCTCAACCCCTGGCTCTTCCATCGACCCTGCCCACACTCCACCCCTTCCCACCCCCTCCCCTGAGTCTGCCATGCCTCGCTCCTCCCACTCCCTCCCCCCAAGCCTCCTGCATGCCATGAAACAGCTGATTGGGAGGCGCTGGGAGTAGGGGGGGCGTGGGGGAGTGGAGCTGATGGGGGGCTGCTGACGTTACTGTAGCTCTTTGGCAATGTACATTGGTAAATTCTGGCTCCTTCTCAGGATCAGGTTGGCCATCCCAGACCTAGACCATCAAATCTATCGGGCATGCCAGAGACAAGGCTGGTCCTCTGTCTCCTGCTACCCGGTCTTCAGGGAAGGGTGTGAGCATGCCACCTTAAATAGTCTTTAGAGTAGGAATGTTACCACCAGGAACTTTAGAATCGTATTACTTATTTGTGACTCTGTGCCTTGTAGCTTTGATTGCTTTTTCACGTGTTTTAATAAAGATCTTAAAACTCTGGCATTGCCCTCAGTGTCACTGCCCTTGCCACACACCCCAAGAGTCCGCTCCTGATGTAGACTATCCATGTTCTTTAACCCCCTAGGAGCCTGAATTGGGACACGAACCTAAATTATTCTAATCAGATCACTGGTGAGCCATAACAAACTAGCCCCCATAAATTCAGGTCTACAAATCCCAGCCTCCATCTATTGGTAAAGTGGCATCTGGAGTTCTTCCAGCCAAATCCAGATCATTTGTAGACAGGAAGTTTTTGGTTAGGTTTGTCTTGTTTTCCTCTTTCTTTTATGATGATGATGCTTAAAACTTTTGTCAATAACAGAGCCAAATAATGCAGCAGTGCTGAGTAAAGCAGGTTTGGCCTGTTCAGAAGGAAATGGGTAAATATGTTCTCCAGATTTTGAATCTTAAGATTCTCTGGGATTTCACTTCAT